ACTAGGTGTCCTAGTGCAAAACTAATAACAAATACACCTTATACACACACAAGAGTGAAATAGAGGGAGATATAGAGATAGAGAGATACAAAATCCTAAACCCTAATCTCAGACCCTCTCTAGAACTTTTTTGAACAGTTGAGGAGGGAGGAGAAGCCCTCCCTTTATAGAGATTCACTCTTGCAAAGCTTACAAAACAAGCTAAGCAAGAGGGAAATCCCTCCATACACGTGTATGAAGGGGGTGCATTGTGGATGCCAGCTATCACAGTTGGCATAAAATATCTGCCAAAAGCAGATGAACAGTGATTGGCTAGCCAAAAATGACAAATTGGCCAAAACAATGGTCGGCCGACCATAAATAGTGCCGGCCGGCCATAACCAATGGCCGGTAGCAACAAAACAGGGCCATGGCCTCAAGCCATGGCCGGTAAGGTGTGGGGATGGCCAACAAGATATTTCCCACCCTCAGAAGCAAAAACACAAGTGTTTGGTGCAAAACCAACCACAAAACAGGCAAGTCGAGAGGTCTTGAGGCAAGGCGCGTGGCCGAGACCTCCGAGAACTCAGGACGAACACAAACATGGATAATCATCGAGTGTTCAAATGATGACGTCCAAGTCTTGAGGACGGTCAAAAATGGGGTGTCTACACCAATGCCTCGTATAGATGATCTATTTATCCAGTTGAAGGGGTCTTGTTGCTTCTCTAAAATAGACCAGTTGAGGGTAAGGAAGGGGGACATCTCGAATATTGCTTTTGTACGCGGTATGGCCATTATGCATTTCTAGTGATGCCTTTTGGGCTAACCAATGCACCGACTGCAATTATGGATTTGATGAACTTGATCTTCCGTGAGTTCCTAGATCATTTCGTGGTCGTCTTTGTGGACAACATATTGATTTACTCACCCTCCGAGGAGGAGCACGAGGAACAATTGCGAATGGTGCTTGAGTTGCTTAGAGTCCATAAGCTATACGCTAAGTTTGGGAAATGTGAGTTCTGGCTGAAAGAGGTTAAGTTCTTAGGTCATGTGGTATCTAGGGAAGAGGTGACTGTAGACTTATCCAAAATAGAGGCAGTTCAAGATTGGGAACAACCTAAGAATGTTTTCGAGATCTGTAGTTTCTTGGGGTTGGCCGGGTATTACTGCCGATTCGTGAAGGATTTTTCTAGACTAGCCTCATCTTTGACTAGATTAACGAGGAAAAGAGTTAAGTTTGTGTGCAGTGAGACCTGCAAGAAAATCATTCCAAGAACTTAAAGTTAGACTGACTACCGCTCTAGTTTTGATTATTCCGGAGAGGGGTTTGGGTTATTTAGTATATTGTGATGCCTCACGAGAAGGTTTGGGTTGTGTGTTGATGCAAGGAGGGAAGGTAGTAGCCTATGGATCGCGGTAGTTGAAAACGCATGAGAAGAATTACCCTACTTACGACTTAGAGATAGCGGCGATGATCTTTGCCTTAAAAATTTGGAGACACTATCTGTATGGTGACAGATTCGAGGCATTTTCTGATCACAAGAGCCTGAGATATCCGTTTACATAGAAGGATTTGAATTTGAGGCAGAGGCGGTGGATGAAGTTCATAGAGGATTACGACTTTGAGATGTATTATCAGCCGGGAAAGGCCTATGTCGTGGCCGATGCATTGAGTAGGAAATCTATTAGTAGCACAGCTTGCATTGCCATCCGGAAATGGGAGATGTTGGGTACTCTTGGGGAGTTTGACTTGCATCTTGGTGAGTCTGTTGAGTCTGCGGCCTTGTTTACAGTAGTTGCCCAACCTACACTTGTGAATCGAGTGTTAGAAATGCAGAAGAGTGACCTTGAGGTGGAATCCCTCTGGGAGAAGATCTCCAGTGAGAAAGTGGAAAGGGGCTTGAATGTGTATCCTGACCAGAGTGTGAGATACCGAGATCGTTTGTTCGTGCCAGAGTCTTACCGAGAGGAAGTACTCCAAGAGTTTCACCATTCACACCTTGTGGTGCATCAAGGAGGCACAAAGATGTATCATGACATGAGTCACCAGTTTTGGTAGAGAGGTACGAAGAGGGATGTGGCCGTGTTTATGTTGATATGCCTTACCTGTCAGCAAGTGAAGGCCCAGCATTAGAGGCTAGCGGGTTTGTTGCAACCCTTGCCTATAGCCGAGTGGAAGTGGGAGCATGTCACGATGGATTTTGTTGTGGGCCTTCCGAGGACTCAATGAGGTAGTGATGTCATTTGGGTAGTAGTTGATCAGTTAACCAAATCTGCACACTTCATACCTATGCGCGTGAGTGATTCGATAGACCATCTTGCCGACTTGTATATCAGGGACACAGTGAGGTTGCACAAGATCCCTGTGACGATTGTTTTGGATAAAGATCCGTGTTTCACAACTCGGTTATGGCAGAGCTTACAGAGTGCCTTGGGCACTAGATTGACCTTTAGCACTGCGTATCATCCTCAGACTGACGGGCAGTCCGAGCGTACTATTCAGATCCTTGAGGATATGCTTCGAGGTTGTGTCCTTGACTTCAAGGGGTCATGGGAGAGGCACCTGCCCTTAGTGGGGTTTGCCTATAACAATAGATTCCAATCAAGTATTGGCATGGCACCATTTGAGGCCTTGTATGGCTGACCGTGTAAGTCCCCTGTGTGTTGGGCAGATGTGGGTGATGCACCTAGGCAGGGTTTGATGAGGTTTGGGAAGAGTGGGAAGTTGTCCCCTCGATTAATTGGGCCATTTGAGATCCTTGAGCGAATTGGAGAGGTAGCTTACCATTTGGCGTTGCTGCCACAGCTTTCCGGGGTTCATGATGTGTTTCATGTTAGTATGCTTTGGAAGTATGAGCCAGATCCATTGCACGTGTTGGATTGGACCAACTTAGAGGTAGACAAGGATGCCTTGTATGAAGAGAGACCAGTGAGAGTCTTAGACACTCGGGACCAAGTCTTGCAAGGCAAGACGATTCCCTTGGTTAAGGTTTTGTGGAAACATCACGGGGTTGAGGAAGCAACTTGGGAGCGTGAATTGGAAGTCCGAGAGAAATCACGGGGTTGAGGAAGCAACTTGGGAGCGTGAATTGGAAGTCCGAGAGAAATATCTAGACTTATTTGTTGGTGTTTGAACATATATTAAGAATTTAATTATGTTAATGAACTGTAAAAGCATTGTATATGTATATTGAGACTTGTTCCTTGTGTGATGAGATTGAGTGACCGGTGGATGGGTCATGGTGTTGCAAATTGATTTGTAAGCATTGTGGGAATTTGTTTAAAAACATGATTTTTAAAATGTGCTTTGTAATTTTAGGGACAAAAATTCTTTAAGAGGGGGAGGTTATAACAATCCTGGTTTTGACCTGACTCTTGTGGTATCCAGGACTCGGGTTCATGGTTTCTGGATGTTGTTCATTGTCTTTTCCTCTTTATTCTTCTTTAAATTTAGTTATTTGGATGTGTTGAGTGTGTTTGGAACAGGTTGCTCAGTTGGTTTTCAAACCTTGTGTTGCCTAAAATTTTGGTTCTCCACTCGAGCGTCCCTTCTTGGGCTCGAGTGGGATTTGCAAACTCTCAGTACTTTGCACGTCTACAAAAGTACTGGAGGGGTGTTTTCCACGCTCGAGTGGCGCTTTCTACGCTCGAGCTAGTGGGCACTTAAGCGTTCCTTCTTGAACTCGAGCGGTTTGTTTGTTGTCTGCATAAGTATTGGAGGTGTGTATTCTGTGCTTCAGCGGGACTTTTTGCATTCGAGCAGAACAACTTATTGTGTCTGACGCTCGAGCGAACTGTGCGTATATCAGATCAGGAAAATGGCTTTTTACATCACTTTTTCAAATCTTTTCATCCTAAACCCTAAAGTTGAGACCCTCTCTTTCTTCAACACACACTCTCTCTACATTTACATATAGATTTAGTGATCTCCACAACCGTGTGCCTTTATTAAAAAGAGAGTGCGTCTCAAGAGCTTCCTCTTGGTCTGATTGAAGTTTAATTTTGGCATCTTTGAAGATCCTCCATATTTTCCTTTGCTCTCCTAAGCTTGAGGTAGGGATATACTACACTTTAATATGATTTTTAGCCTAGTTATTTGTTGTTATGTATAAATGATGGAATATTGGGGATATTTGTGGATGAACCTAGGGTTTTAGTGTGGAATGAAAGAGGGGTTTTCAAATGTAATTGGTAAAAATGGTTTGGGTGTAGATGTAAAGGTTTGTTGTTGAAAAAGGGTTGATTTGGGCACTTGAGTTAGTATTTGGATAAATAGGAGTTGTGCCCTAGATGGGTCAATTTGTGTTTTTGTATAAATAAACGAAATTGACTATGGTGGTATGGAATTGGATAGTTGTTGACATACATGGTGGAGCCGGATACTCATTATCTCGCTCCTATGGAAATTTGAATAAATTATTTATCTTGAGATTGAATATCTGTTTAGAAATATCTATGATTGTTGTAGAAATTGCATGAGGATTAGGTGAACTAAAACTAATCATTTAATTGGTGTCATTGAATATGACAACACTTTAAATACATTGTATATGCATAATATTTTGAGAGGAGAAAGGGGATATACTCCATGTTCTGGGAGGAGATAGGGGATGGACTCCAGTGAAATTAAGTTGGCCTGAGTGTCCAGGGTGAAAGTCCCAAAATCATATGTATATATGGGTGCCAATCCCGCGAACGAAATTTCCGTAAAATGGCAAGATTGAAGTGCTTGTATGATGATTATATTGACTAAGAACCACTGAGTTGTAGTCTCAGTTGGGCTATTCAGAGAATTATAAACTTGGCCTATGAATTTAAATAAAATGATTAACTTGAAATGAATAGATGGGAATGGATTGAGATGTGAATATCGATACTATATGGTCATGTGGAGAATGTGTGTTTTGTCATAAATACTGAATATACACTTGACATTTATATCTTTGTTAAACTTCATATATTATGATAGATTGTTTCTACTGCGCTTTGGCTCACCCTACTTGGGAAACCACTTTTAGGTACCGGTGACATGCTTCCTCCAAAGATGTAATTTGGGAGGACCTAGGAGCTGGAGGCTCTATTTTGGTGTTTTGTGCTTAAATGTTTATTCAAGCCAGGGGCTTTATATGTACTGAGCTTATGACTCTCTTTCGTTATAACCAAGCAATGTTTTGGAAAGATGTAAGCCCGTAGGGTATTTATTTTGTTAATCATTAACTAGTATTACATGCTATAGATTCAAGATGTACATTTATGGATGTATATTGCATGTGTTATCTTTTGTAATACGAACTCTGATAAATGAAATGCTTTATTTCTATTTTTCTTCCGCTTATGAGTTGGATTTATTATATTATTTTTGAGCGCGTGACAGTGTATGTGGAAAAGGAAATAGAATTTTTAGGATTTGAAATAAGGCAAGGTCAATAAAAATGTAGAGTCATGTTCTCGAAAAAATTTATAAATCTTCAGATAAAATCATGGGTAGAAAAAAACTAGAAAGGTTTTCCAGAAGTTTAACTTGTGTGCCAACTTTTATAAAAGATTTAGCTAAAATAAGAAAACCATTACAAAAGAAATTAAAAAATGATGAGAGTTGGACTTAGAATTCAGCCGACTCTACTTTAGTAAAATTTTTAAAAGAAAAATGTAATGATTTGCTTACCCTAACTCTTTCTAATAAAAACGATGATCTAGTACTGGAAACGGATGCAAGAAACAATCATTGGAGCACGATATTAAAAATAAAAGAAAATAATCAGGTATGTAGGTGTTGCAGAGGAAGTTTTAATCAAGTTGGATGCAATTATCCCACTATGGAAAGGGAATTATTAGCCATAATAAAAGGAATATAAACATTTTTAATATTTTTGGCTCCAAAACTTTTTTTTAATAAGAATTGATTACAAAGGCCTACTAGGTTTCGTAAATAAGAATTCATCTAACAGGCAGGCGTAAGGGAGGCTTTTACGATGGCAACTCTGGTTAAAACAATTTACCTTTAATATAAAACATATTAATGGCAATAAAAATAGTTTTGCAGATTCTTTAACTTGAGAACTTGTAAATGACATCTACATCCACAAGACTTACATTGCTAGAGAAGGAAACACTTCTAGCAGAGACTCAAGAAGTGGTGACATTATCAAAAAAATGCAGGCTATAAAGAAGAGTTGTTCCGTGAATGAGCTCATTAGGACCACCTACTTAGTTGCCAAAACTATTTTACAATTAGAAGTATTAAAATTATTTCTTCAGCTTCCCTATGATATCCAAACTAAAATAAGAGAATGTTCTTTTGTTAAGTTATTTTTGAAATGGTACAAAGAAAGTGTCACCCATCTGGGAACTCAGTGGTGCTTCTTTAACGGATGGACAGCCGTGTACAACTATAGAATGTTAAAGGTCTCATTGGATCCAGATATGGTTATCAGTCCTAAAGATCCTTTGGTTCAAATGTGGAAATTAGGAATAGTCAATACATTCTACGTTTCACCTCACCCTTTGGCTATGTTTGTTTGGGTGGACTGGATTAGGTTGGATTAGTATTCCCATGACTAATTGTCCTAGGACTATGAATCCCTTTGGATTGTGTATCCCATCCTATGTTTGGATTGAGTTAGGATTATAAGGAGGGATTAACAAAATATTATCCAATCTGAGGTTTGTTTAAAGGGATTGGAATGGATAGGACATGACAGGATATGTGACATCCAATATATAGACCATAATACCTCTATTATGGTCATTTGATAGGTTAGTCCAGACTTTGACTTAGTTTCCCAATTTATGTCCCACCTCTTATGTGGGAATGAATAGTCCATCATATGTGAGATACCATATCCAGATAAATTGTTGGTCCGAAGTTCAATTTTTTAACTAAACATCGGATTAATAATTTTATTGAACTATCAGTCCAATCCCAAGCATATGTCCGCCCAAACAAACATGACCTTAGAGTACTATGTTCTTTTAGCTCACCAAATTCCAACAATTCATCTTCAAGAGAATTTATGATGTCTATAAAGAATACCTGAGCATGGCACCCATTACATTTACAACTATACAAACGGAAGTAAAGGTTGAACATCTAAATGCAGCTTGTTATCTGATAAAAATAAAAGACAAGAATGACGTGATGCCCTTCAAATGTGATTGGTTCAAAGATTGGGAAAATTTTTTTATAATTGAACAATAGAAGCAAGGGTAAGGGATTTTTTTTAATTTTATAAATAATATCTCATGAAATTACAAAATTAGAAAGGGTTAGGTTCAAGGTGGTTCCAGAGGTGGAAGGTTTTCTCATAGAAACACAGTGTGCATTAATTTGATCTGCCAAATTTGTAGAAAGAACAATCATTACACCCTTGATTGTTAGCATAGGCTTGATTAAGCTTATCAGCCTCATTTTGCAACTTTTCCTCAGCATTAGATCTTCCATTCTTACATTTCACAACCTCAATCACCTAGTTTTCCTCCAAAAAGAGCTTATATTGCTTCTACTCCTTCTGCCTCATCTGACTCCACTCCATGGTATCTTGACTTAGCTGCCACAGATCACATGACTAATGATCTAAGCCATCTTCAAGTCTATGAATCTTATCAAGGATCTGAGCAGATTACTATTGGAAATGGTCAAACATTGCCTATCATGCATACTGGCAAGGGTATTCTTCTCACTCCTCATCATTCATTCAAATTGAATAAGGTGTTGTATGCTCCTATCTCCTCTAATTTGGAATCTGTGCATAAGCTCACTAAAGAGAATAATTGGAATATTACATTTATTGATTCCTCTTTTGTTGTTCGGGACAACAACACCAAGGCCATTTTACAAAAGGGCCTTAATTCTTATGGCCTCTATCATTTTTCTCCTGTTCAGACCTGTCACTTTCCTTCATTGTCACATGCTGCTATTGCATTTTTTAGTCCTACTACTGTGTCTACTTCAGAGTCCATTTAGCATAAAGACTAGGTCATCCTTCTTCCTTTAAGTTTTCTCATATGAAGAAGCATTTTCTTTCTTTTATTAATAAAACCAAGGGTGTGTCTTAGCCTTGTAATGATTGTTGTGTTTCAAAGAGTCATAGGCTTCCATTTTCACTTTCTAATTCAATTGTAAAAAGACCATTTTCTCTTATACATAGTGATGTGTAGGGGCCCTTTACCTCTTTTGTGCCTACTTTTAAATACTATGTGTTGTTTGTTGATGAATTTACTAAGTTTACATGGATTTATCCTTTGTGCTATAAGAGTGAAGTTCTTTTTCTTTTTCTTTCTCTCTCTCTTTTTTTTTTTTTTTTTTTTTTTTTTTTTTTTTCCCTCTAAATTCCTAGAGTTCAAAGCTTTTGTTGAGAATCAATTTTTTACTACTTTACAAGTGCTGAAAATAGAAGGAGCTACAAAATTTGTTAACAAGACCATGACCAAATTCTTACTAGCCCATGGTAGTCTTCATCAAACCTCTTGTCCTTATACACCTTCACAAAATGGTGTTTCAAAGAGAAAACATAGACACATAACTGAAACATCTATAACTCTTCTTTATCATTCTTATGTTCCTTTCAAATATTGGTTTGATGCTATTTCTGTCGCTACATATGTTATTAATAGAAAGCCTAGTTCCAAACTCCATCACAAATCTCCTTATGAGTTACTATTTCATCATTCTCTTTCTTATGACTTCATGAAAGTTTGTGGCAGTCTTTGTTATCCTTGGCTCAAGACCTATGTGACTCATAAATTCTTGCACAAATTAGTTGCTTGTGTCTTTTTAGGTTATAATCCATCAGTTAAAGGCTATAGATGTTTGGATCCTCTCTTAGGAAAAGTCTATCTCTCTAGACATGTTATATTTCATGAAGATGTTTTCCTTTTCACTCAACAAGCTCAATCTGCTTTTTCCTTTTCTTTTCAACCTTCTCCTCTTTCTCATATTTACTATTTCTTCTGGTCTTCTTTTGCTTCTCCTTCTAATTCAGCTCCAACAACTTTTTCTCTACTTTTCTCTATTTCTTCTCATTCTTCACCACTTGCTTCTAGTCCCCTTGTTCCACATGTTCCCTCTGTTCCCACCCCTGTTCAATCTATTTCTATTGAGTTGCCTCTTCCTTCTCCTATTCCTCCTTCTCTTAACACTCATCCCATGAACAGCAGATCTAAGTCTCATTGCCTTCTTTCTTCTTCTCAACCCGTTGTTCTTTCTTGCCTTTCTAACTCAGAACCTTCCAGTTATAATCTTTCTCTTCAAAGTCCTGTTTGGACTGCTGCTATGCAAGAAGAATATCAAGCTCTTATGAAATAAGGGACTTGGTCTCTTGTCCCTCCTCCTTCCTCCAAAACATCAAATGGATGCAAATGAGTTTTCAAAGTCAAAAGAAATTCTAGTGGCACTATTGCCAAACATAAAGCTCGGTTGGTTGCCAAAGGTTTTTTTTAACAAGAAGCGGTTGATTATAATGAAACCTTTAGCCCAATAGCCAAACAACCCACTATTAGAGTTTTGCTTTGCACTATAATTGGCCTCTCAAGTAGTTTGATATAAGCAATGCTTTTCTCCATGGGTCTTGGCTGAGGAAGTTTATATGTTACAACCTCCTAGTTTTTCACATCCAGCTTATCCTCATCATGTTTACAAACTTCAAAAGGTCCTTTATGGACTCAATCAAGACCTTAGAGCTTGGTATTCCAGCTTCTCTAAGTTTTTGCTTGGTCAAGGGTTTGTAAACAATCATTGTGACAATTATTTTTTCATTCGGAAATCCTCTTCCTCTATCATCATTTTGCTTGTATATGTTGATGACATTCTTGTTACTGGGAGTAGTGCTGCTCATATTCATTTTTTTATTCAGCAAATGCACACTGTCTTTACCATGAAAAAGCTAAGTCCCATTTCTTTGGGTATTTCCATCAAGTCAGTTGGTAGCTCCTATGTTCTCTCTCAATACAAGTATGCATCTGAGATTCTTGCCAAAGCTGGTATGACTTCTTGCAAACTTGCAACACTCCCGTTGCTGTCAAGACCTCTACCACTCCTTTTGATGCTCTTCATTTTCATTAGCCTGAGCTGTATAGGTGTTTGGTAGGAGCTTTACATTATTTGACTATAACAAGACCTGATTTGTCTCTGGCTATCAATCAAGTTTGTCAACACATGCATGCTCTATCTAATTGTCATTTTGCTGTTTTCAAAAGGATTCTTCGATTTGTTCAAGG